ACAGCAGGGCCCAGGGAGTCTGCCTTGACCGCGTGCTTGATGAACGCGCGACCTCTCGATGGGTAGTCAGAGGGATTGCGCTCAGAAGGGGCCCATCTAACCGAGAGCCGTACATTGCAGGCCAAAGATAAGGCGCAGATTTCACGAAGCACATCTCGGATCTGGAAGGCCCCTGAGCGCCCCTTGCCAACCGCGGGGGCCAGCCCGAGGTTGTCGACGAAGATGAGCAGCCGTCGATTGAAAGCAGAGCGGCTTCGAAGCAGATGGCGAAGAGCCGAAGACAGAGCCGAAGGCGGCGGCCTCAGCAGGCCTGCAGCGCCTGCGACAGACTCCGCAACCCCAGCGGGAGGCATCACTGGCAGCCACCGCGTCATGCCAGCGGGCGCTCTTGTTGACGACCAGCAGCGGCAGCAAACTCATGGCGATTGTCAACTCATCCCTGACCGAAGGCGCGGCACCTCAAGCCGCCCTCGGCACTGCAGCGCGAAAGCGTAGACTGAGGACAGCGTGGGCAGCGATCAGCGCTGGATCAGCATGACCCACGTCAGGTGGCCGATGGGGATCTCCATAACGTCGCCACTGCACCGCCCTTTGGCAAAGAGCTCGGCGAGGGCGGCCTTCAGACGCCAGATGCGCTCGCAGGAGACGCGCGCGGTGTGGCTGCGGCCGTCCAGCTCGAGCCCAACGAACTGAACCTTTGTCGAGGCGCCTGTCTCCTCGTGCACAACGAAGCCCGAGTCGGCGAAGGCGCTGGCCACGCGCTGACCTGTGGAGGCCACAGCTTGCCGAGGCCCCCCCATCGCCATAAATTTGTCGACGTGGGCGGCGCCCTGTGGCACGCGCAGCTCCAGAGGTATTGCTGCGGCTCGGTCGCTGACGAGGCGCTCGCTAGGCAGGCCCCCGCGACGGGCGCCCTCTTCGACCGCAAGCTGGCAGGGGTGCAGCGCCCAACTCCAGCCCATCGCCCCGCCGCGAAGGGCGGCCGTTGACGACTAGGCAACCCGCCGCCTCAGCGCGCGCAGGCGCCAGCCTGAAGGCGTCGCCTAACGCCTCAGGTGTCGCGATGGCGTAGAAAACGTTCTGGATGTCGCCCGCGTAGAAATAGCACGCGTCGCGCTCGGCGGTCCCCAGCTGGCTGAAGGCGGCCGCCGTTGGCAGCTGCGCACCAGCCATGCCAGGGGGGCCCAGCACCTGACGGAGACCCACAGGCCCCCCCCCCCCCCCAGGCCTAGGTGGGCGACCCGAGTGAGAGAGCCTCGCCCAGCTCCCATCAGACCTGAAAGTGAGTCCCGTCCTCCCCGCCCATCATGACGACGGGCTCGAAGACGAGCGCCGCGCCCTGGAAATCGGCCTCCAGCGCCAGGAAGATGCCGTGGAAGCCAATCTCTCCCAGGGTCACGTCCTGTTTGCGTGGGTAAGCAGCCAGTTCTCGACATCGATGAACGCTGCTACGTCCCGCATCTTGGCCCATGCCTCGCACTGGATCTCCTCCAACGCAGAAGCAGCATCCGTGGGCAGGACCCCCTCGAAGTTATTATTATTGTCCTTCTTCTTCTTCTCGCTGACGCTATGGCTCCAGGCGCCGTCGCTGGAGCTGCCGGCGCCGGTGGGGCCGCGCCCAGCGACGCCAGGCTTGTCAAAACTGTGGCCAAAGGGGCCCCCGACCACATTGCAAAACTCCAAATGCGTAGCTGGTCTGGCTGCCTATGATGGAGCCGCGCTCATTCATCATCGCGTCGACAACCTCAGGGTCGAGCTTCTCGCCGAAGTTAGTCAGCGCGCGGCGTAGACCCTCAAAGCTGACGAGGCCCGAGCCGTCGCCCAGCTCACGGAAGGCCTCCAGCGTCCGCTTGGTCGCATCAGCGCGTCTTCCATCGCCCAGAGGATGAGCACCACTCTTGGCGATCACCTCCTCATCCTCACCAACTTCTTGCCAGCGTCGCACTCCGCCTTCAGCGCGCCCACGGAGCCATTGGAAAGCACGGGGCGCTCCTCGTCCTTGGGCTTCGCGCGAGCGGCGACTCTAGCTGCTTCTTCTTGCTCTTCTTGCTCTGCTTGTGCTTATTATTCTTATTGTTCTTCTTCGTCTTCTCCTTCTTGTTATTCATCTTCTCCTTGCGCCTCCTGTGCGCCGAGCTTGACGAAGCTGACCTTCGCCTCCTCTACGTCCTCGAGCGCTCGATCTCCACGGTTTTCGGCTCCTCCGACACTTCGGCAGGCCGAGATGATACGCATCCAGCTCCTGCACCTGCTCCTGCCGAGCCTGCTCCTGCTGCGATGGCACGGCCTGCGACATGGTCCCTCGCCGCTCCACGGGTGCCCCCCCCTCCCCCCAATACCCCGGCGGCGGTGCCAGGGTGACCTCCGTGAGGGTCGGGAAGATGGGCGGGCGGCCGCTTTGACGGCGCCACGATCACCGTCTCCGAGTCCCGTTTCCTCCTCGGCGGGGTGACTGAAGCTGACCCCCGTCCTGTATCACCTTGACCTCGAACTCCTTGATGCTGGCCTCCTCCGTGAAACGCTTCGCCAGAGCGACCAGCGCCGCCTGCGCACTGTCGCGCTCCAGCAGCACCGACGGCAGGAGCAGGCGGAGCAACATGAAGCACCAGCCATCAGCTCCCGCGCGCTGCGCTGCTTCCAATCGCGCGCGCGGTACCCCAGGCCCCCTGCCCGACAGGAAACGGCTGAGGGGTTCCGCGAGGGGTTGGAGCGTCCAAGATGGCCCTGAATCGCTCTACGGGCGCCTCGGAGAGCCCAGGACGCGCTCCAAGATGGCTCAATATACCCCAAGATGCCCCAAGATGGCTCTCAAAATGCCCCAAGAGGCCCCAAGACCGTTACAAGATGGCCTCAGGTGGCCAAAGAGTTCCTGAAGGAGGCCCCGAAGAGGCCGAAATCCTTCCAACACGTAAGGGGAATACATGTGGTATGCTCTCTCACCTTTTCGTTCTTCCAAGGCCTCAAGATGGCTCCAAGAGGGCCGAAGAGGGCCCCAAGAGGGGCCCAAAAGAGCCCCCAAAACGGCCCCAAGAGCGACCAAACGCGCCCCGATAACGCCCCAAGAGGGGCCCAAAAGGCGATTTCAGGCACTTTGGAGTGGCGAGGGTAATCGGGGACCGGCTCTTTTGTTGATCGGTGTCCTCCAAGATGGTCCGAAGAGCGCTCCCGAGGCACCCAAAAGCGCCCAAAGAGGGCCCCAAGAGGCGCCCAGGCTGCCCCGAGAAACGCCCAAGATTCCCCCAAAAGGCTTTCAAAAGGCCCCCGAGATTTCAAAAGGATCCCCGAGGCACCCAAGATGCCCCCCCAGACGTTCCAAGAGGCCTCCAAAAACCTCCCAAGAGACATTCGAGGAGGCTCTTTTGTTCGTCCTGTTTTCCGCCTCCTCCTCCTCCTTTTCCTCATCGTCGTCGTGTCCTCCTCCTCCTCCTCCTCCTCCTCCTTCTCCTTTTCCTCCTCCTTGTCCACCTCCTGCTCCTCCTCCCTTCTCCCCCACATCGGACGGTTTCCCCCGCCTTGTGTTTCTGTATGCTCCCCCCCTTTCCCTGATCACCTCAACCCCCCCTGGGCATTGTTTTTGGATGGGTTGGTGGGGATACGCGAAGCGTCAACAATTTGTCAACTCGTTTGTAAACACAAGCTCTTCTCAGGCTCTACCCCCCGGGTTTATCGACACCCATTGCGTATTGTAACATACGTGCGATTCTGCCCCACCGGCAATCCGAAATATCAACTCATACCATCCCAACCCAACCGGTATCGACCCCCCCCCCGTCATCCCCAGCCCAAACAAAATTGGCGCGCGCACTCGTTCATCAAAACGCATAAGTCTGCAATTGTCAATTGCAAAACCATGGGATGAATTGCGCACGCGCGCGTCGTCGCGCGCGCATGCCGGAATCCTTCAAAACCTTCGGTGCCGATAAAAGCACAGGGCTTCGCAACGCGGATTTTCAAACCAAAAAATTGCGCGCGCGCTCTTGCGATTTTTGGGGAACCCCCTGGTTTTTGCAACATGTTCGTAACATGCTACCAGACAGGCTTCGCGCGCGCGCATGTCGAAATCGTTCGAACGCCCTTGCGCGCGTGCCGTCGCGAAAACCCTTTTGCAACAAAGGGACAAAGTGCACGCGGCCGCGTCGTCGCGCGCGCATTCCAAGATCTGTCAAAAACCTTCATCATCGTATCAAATGTCAGAACCGAATGTCCAAAACATCTACAACAACACGTGGTGCCGTAACATATCTTCCAAAGCAACACGCATGGAATTCTGTTAAGTGGACCTCTGGTGTCGCATGCTGACATCGTTCGCACGCCCTTGCGCGCGCTGGGGGGGGGGGGGGGCACGATCCGTGTCAAAGAATACCGCGCGGGCCACTCTCGCGCGTCGGCCGCAGTCGCATGTCGAACCTTTTCCAAAACCTGCGTCACCGACGCGAAGACGCAGTCATCGTCATCGGCGTGATCAGCATCGGCGCCCGCACTGGCTACGCCGTCGTCGTTGTCAACATCGCCACCACAATCGCTACTATCATCATCGTGTCTACTGTTGTCGACGTTGCCGTGATACCGCGCCCGCCCAAGTCGCCGACTCGCAGTCAAGTGCCCGCTGGGATGTGCCCAGCGGTCAGCGCCACCGCGGCCGCGTCGGTCGCGCCGAACTAGTTGGCCGCTGCGCGCGCTTGCTTGGGTCGGCGCGGCCGCACAAATGAACCAGCCAATCGCAATCGCCACCGACTGGGTTTTGCAAACAAAACTGCGGGTGGGTGGGTGGGATGATTGCGCGAGCAGTGGAGGTGGTCAAGCGCGGTACAGGGTAGTCAATTGCACCACAAAGGTTGCACCATACATGTGTGTATATATATATATATATATATATATATATATATATATATATATAAACATCGATTGCACATCCTAGAACACGCTGGCTACCATTTACTTGTTCGTCTTTGTTCGTCAGGAAAGATCGAAGAGGAGACCCTCCCCTCGAACATGGGCGCCGTCCTGCACCAACTCCTTTCCTTCGTTCGACTCGAGCCGGGCACCGGCCTGGAACTGCGTGACGAAACTCTGGATGAAGGTCAGGTCGTG